CATTTTCATTTATGATAGCGCTGCTCAATTTCCCAAGGGTCTTTAATTCCTCTGTAACAAAAAACATTTAATATATACAACAGTTTATGATAAAATATGTCCATAAATTAATAGTCATTCAATACAGAAGTTGTTTGTTTTATGCAAGTTTGGTTTATATGAACTTTCTTGGGACTGTAAACCTTGCATGCTTGACAAATTGTCATTTTTGCCTTAATATTCCCAGCTAAATTAGTGGTACATTAATACAGTAGTTTAAACAGATAGACAGGTAGATACAGTATACTGTACAGTAGAATCCCAGTTATCCGGCACCTAAGGGGATTGAGAAGTGCCGGATTAACAGGTTTTCCTGTTACTGTAATTGAAACTAACTCTTGGGATCCCCCCAATAAATTCTACAATGCACAGTGCTACATGCTGACCTAGCAAATTCACATCTAAGAAAAACAGACTTTTTCAACTCTTATTCCACTCTATATAAATGATGTGGCTTTTAAGTAAAGAAAATAAAATATAAAACTACACAGAGGTACAACTTTACATGCTGATTAAGGGTCTGGGTTCACAGTTTAAAAATTCAAGTAATTAGTGTTAATTAATGACCTTTGAAATAATTAAAGATATTTAGAATACTGTATCTAAAAAGTCAATTACGCTGTGCATCCAAGTTTTAAATCATCTTTATGTACATTCTCTAAATAATAAATAGATACATACTGACAGATATTGGTAAGACATAAGGATAGACATACAGTACTGTACATAGATTGACAGACTGACAAATACGTGTATTGATAAATAGATTGACAAATAGATAAAACTGACCGATAGGTATTGATAGATCGATACAGTATTGGTAGATAATGGATAGATAAATTGATAGATGTACTGAGGCACAGAAAGACAGACACATAAATTTACAAAAAAAGTTAGAATATCAGTGGTTCCCAACCTCTTCCATTCTGTGACCCCATACAAAATATGATAACTTCCGTTGCCCCAGTCTAAATCTTTCTTCGATGAAACAAACTAAACGTCACTGGAATGAGCAGTTGGATTTGATATTTCAATATTCTATTATTATTATTAGTGGTAAATACAGTACCAGTAGCTACAGGATTAACATAAAAGAAAACTGCCACACAAAAAAAAATTCCAAGTCATGACTTAAATAACCACGCTACTCTTTTTGTAAAAACTCTTGAGAGATAATTTTCTGTTCCAACATGTTAAAGGCCTAAAGCATTACAGAGGGGAGCAAACACCCAAGCCACTGGACCTCATCATAACAAACGAGGAGAGTACGGTGGCCAAACTGGAACATCTAGCCTCAGTTGGCACCAGCCACCATGTAATGTTGTCATTCAGATTTAACTGTTACTTAGTTCACGACAAAACCAGGCCAAGGTACAAATATTACAAGGGCAATTACGACGGGATGAGGGAGGAGATGAGGGGTATCCACTGGCCTGACTCACAAAGGCATAAGAATGCAGACACTATGCCGAATATCATATCTTGAAAAGTGAACCATTTGATTAAAAAATATAAACCCAAGACCAAACCTATTGCCTCTATGAATACAAGGAGACCCCTGCACATGAACCATGCGGCGGTCGACAAAGTTAAGAAAACCCCCCAGAAATTAAAGGCATGGGTTAGGTCAAATGATGAGCAGGACAAGAGGATGTATGCAGGAGCCAGGAACCAAGCAAAGTCAGAGCGTAGAAGAGCTGAAAAGGAGTTACAGAGGCTGGTTGCAAAGCGAGGTCAAGTCAAACCTAAAGGCGTTTTACCGCTATGCAGTCAAAATTAAAAACGTGAGTAGGAGTATCGGACCTGAGCCTTGAAAATGGTAATTACGCAAATTCTGACCAGGACAAAGCTGAGGCATTGAACAGCTTCTTTTCCTCGATTTTCATAAGCAAGGGTGTACTGTACATAAAAAACCTAACATGAGCTAACTGCACACAATAGTAGCACCCAATGCTGATTTAATTGGGATCTTCTTCAGAGCCCCTTAGAGTTAGACAAAAGTTCTAATACTCTCTTTTAACAGTTCGATAAATACTTCCATAATGCACAAATCATCTGGCATTATATTAAATTAACAGATATAATACATACGCTTTTTATTATCACCTGGAACACCTATCATTACAACCCGTTTCTTCCAGCCGAGGACTTCTTGTTACCATCATCTTTTCAGAAAGAAAATTACTGTATGTCACCAAATGAGGCAGAAAGTCAGATCAGCAACCTGGGACTTGGTCACAATTTTTGTGATGCCATATGGCAGCAGGGTTTACCATTAGACAACACATTATGCTTCCATTATCTTCCCAAGTAGTAGTACCTCCCTGTTTGGTAGCTGCCTATTACCTAACTATAAATATCACCTATTTCCAAGTAATTTTTTTTTTCATATTCCTCCGGGCTTCCATGATACAAAATAATAACAACAATATAAAGATTTGCCTCAGATATAGTCACACCATTAAAATGCTTAATCTTCCAGAAGACAAAATAATGAGTTAGTATATATTCCAGAGTTCATTATTTCTTAATGGTTGAAGAATTCAACAGCCTCACTATAACATAACTAATCTAATTGTATCACAGTATTTACATGAAACCTCACTTGTCAAGGTAAATAAAAAAATCATATAGTATTACTTTATGTACTGTACAGTCTGCATGTAAGTCCTGACTTGTTATTTCCACTTGATGAAGCCCACACACTCCTTAGTACCTCTTGTACAAGTACTCTCCATTTATGTAGGTTTTCTACATATCCAAGAGTAAATTTACAAGGAAATGATATCTATGTAACCATAAAGGGAGATAGAGGACTTTTTGTAACTTGTTTACTCACTTATTAGTACTGTACTGTACTGTACACTGACAATGAATTGAAATATTGTAAAATCTTGTGTATTGGAGAAGTACACAAGTCTTCACAAGCTAAATACTAATCTAGTTTATGTAGTACAGTGACCCCTCCGTTAACGAACTCAATCCGTTCCAGAAGGTCGTTCGTTAACCGAAAAGTTCGTAAACCGAAACCATTGTTTCAATGGGTTTTTGGGTAATTGGTTCCAGCTCACCGAAAATTTCCTAAATTCAACAAAAATGGTAGAAAAGTTCACTTACTTTGAGGTGTGTATGTAGAAGGCTCCTGGATGATGATGATGGGATTTTAAAATGGGGTGGAGGAGAAGGAAGAAGAGAAGGCATTGGGGTGGGAAGAGAAGTCACCCCATGGTGCCATTTCACCCATAAAAATTTTAGCTCTCTTGGTGTAATTCAAGATTATTTTCTTTAAATCAACACTGCACTGCATTATATATTGTCAATATGTAAAATAAATTTCAAAATGACCAATAATTTGCTTGGAACACAGAAAAAAAGCATTTAGTTGAAGAGAGTCTCAAGCAAGATGTTACCTCCAGTGAAAACAGAGAGAGACTAACGCTTGTTTGCTGTGTTAAGAGGCTGGATGCCGCGCATTAAACTAGTCACTTTACCTTCAATTATGTTCAATAATTGTTAAAATTACTAAAAAATTTAATATTAAACTTTTAAAATTATTGAATAGTATAAACTTCTTGATATTTACTAAAATAGTAAGGAATTTAAGCCCTAGAACCGATTACTGTATTGGCGGACTGATACTAAAGCTGGTTGCCCGGTCAGTGCAAGCGAAAACATGTTGAGGTCGGTTCGTAAGAAATTCGTTAACCGAATTGAAGATCCTTATGGAAGGCAGTTCGTTAATCGAAATTACGTTAACCGAGGTGTTCGTTAAACGAGGGGTCACTGTATTATTAATATGTAATTTGTCTTCGTATGCCTTATTGTGGGTAAAAAATAAGTGTACAGCATATTAAATGCGTCCTCCGAAAGCGGAATTTGCTACCAGAGTGTAACAGTTAATTCATGTATTATAAGATTTCTGATAAACTTCCTACATGCTCATGTTTGAAATAATGAATGTATGTACTGTATCTTCATATAACTTAGCTACTGTAAATAACTTTATCATCAGAAACAGTCATCCCAAAGATTATGAATAAACTCATTTAGAAATACATCACTCCAGAAAGAAATTGGACAGATTTACAAGAGCCAACCAGCTGTAACTCTTGAGGAGGGAGTGGGGCAGCAGCAGCAGCAGCAGTTTGATCTGCTGTATCTCAGGGGAACAAGATGATCGGCCCCTAAGCGGACAACAGTCGCAGACATTGACTATGAGGCAACAGTCACTGTACTGTACTGTATATAATTTTCTTCATTTATTATCAAAAGAATATGCACATAAGGTATTGTTTGATGATAAGCTAATCAGTAAAGAGCAATTGTCTTTATTATCAGGAAGAGAGGAGGATATCTTGATGTGTGAGATCTCGACAGATATGTTTGTTAGTCTTTGCAACTAATGACAAACTGAGGCTGGGAGCCGGCAAGATATTGATGACCTCGAGAACCGTAGGCACTGTACCGAGAAGGTTATTTCAATGTCATATATGTGACATGGAAGTGATAATTATTGCTTAATTGGTCTTTGCTTAATTAACTCAGGTGATGCAAATTATATAACAAACATAAGTACTGGACTAATTATATTTACATAATTATTACTGTCCATATATTTAACAGAGGTTAATACTGTACAGTTCTTCACAATCAATTCATCCTTATTATTGGTAGTAGCAGCAGCCACTCTGTTTATCCACCAGGCAGGACCAAGAAACCTGTAGAAGTCACTAGTTACACTAATAGAGAACATTTCCACCCATATTTTACCTTTAAAGACATTGTTGGACTTATGGCTATATTAAGTGATGCTGATAATGTTATTACTGCAGACCTCTTGTTTACATTCTTTGATGGCTGTTAACTAAGAGGATTTTGTTCATTTTACACTTGAGTTATTTGCAGATGACATAAAAACTACATCTATTAGGTATATGGATAGTAAAAAAAAAATACAAATCTTCACATAATAAAAGACTTTACTCAGAAGATATTTACATTAACCATTTGACTCTAACACAATCAATACCAATACAGAAAACTTCCATAAAATGAACTTCTCTCTCTCAATATATAATCTGTTAGATGGTGGGTTTCACATCCAATGGACCATCGATATAATGCACTTTCATCTCTATATAATTAGTAAGATGGGGGTGGGGGGCTGACATCTAACTGACCCTCGATATAAAGGACTTTCCTCCCAATATACTGTAGTCCGTTAAATAGAAGTTTCACTGTATTATTAAGAGTATAATCACATGGAGAGAAAACCACCATAGATCCTAGTAATATTCTCTCTCGTATCGTTCAGTTAAGCGGAAGTTTTCACGTCTCCTGTATGGTTTGTATGGATCGTCGGGATAGTGTCGATTTCTCTTCCAGAACCGTGTGACCTGTAAATGGCCGAGTAAGAAAAAGATTCAGAAAAGAGTATGGAGCAATTTTCCTTTAATTAATTGTTCTAGTAATTAAGCAATGCCTTATATTTTTACCGATGTGCGGCATTATCAAGGGTCACTGTTTCAGAGGTTGAGGGATCTGTAACAGTACACATGTAAGCCATCTATACTGGTGTTTGGGTCATTATGTGGTAAAGTACCTGAGGGTTTCTCTGAATACTCTCCACTGACAGAACATTTCTGCTATGCTTACATCATTTGCTTATTTTCAGTTTTTCCCACATGGTTGCTCTCCTTATAATTAAATTTCAACAAAATCCATTTTTCAAAACTTACTTATCACAATAATGAACAAAGGTTATCTTATTCCTTAAAAAAGGCCATATTATTCCTTAAGAAAGGTTTTTTTATTCTTTACCCAAAGAAAAACATATACTAAGCATGTTAACTGAAGCAGGTAAAAACTGTTATTGTAAGATCAGAAGCTAATTGTAAATACAGTACTGTATTAAGATTTTACACTTCACAAAAATAGTGATAATGCAAGTTGTTTTCTGTAATGTTTTATAATGCCCTCAAATCACCAACATGGGAATGGCAAAATTCTCACCATCTTATCCAACAACTGGGACTGTGTAGCGTTGCAGAAAACGTGCGTCTTGCATCGACGTCTCTGTGAAGGGGATTTCTTCCACATTCTTTTCTTGGCTCCAGATCGCGCATGTATCCAAATGCTGCGTCCACCCCTTGAAAGATTTTGTTACGCCGATATAATGAAGTCCAGTGATGGTTATAAACTTATTTTAATCATAGTAAGTTTGGCTTAAAATTTTATCCTTGTGATAGATGTGTCTTGATCATTACAGGAGCTTCACCATATTTATGATGTTTAATTACCTCCAGCTTGGTCTCAAGAGTCACAGGTTAGTTAATCTTCTTGGGTGCAGTGTAGTATGAGTGGCCAAAAAATCAGCTGAATGCTTGGATGCCAAGGTGAAAACAGTAATGAAAGGATGGAGGAATATACAGTACGTACATGGATAAAGTAATAGCAAAAAAATGTAACATAAATAACGCAGTATTGAAATTAAATGATACTTCAATTAAAATTCAAACTTCTACATGGGGAGCCGATAGGAAATCTTTATTAATGGTGTATAAGACCCTGATCAGATCAAAACTCAACTATGGATATCAGCTGTATGCATCGGCATGCCACACCACACTCACAAAGCTGACCAGAATACAGAACCGATGTCTTCATCTGTCTGGGTGCCTACAAGTGTACATGTATTGAAAGACTGGAGGTAGAGGCTCATGTCACCCCACTCCACATCAGGAGGGATATGATGACGTTAAGGTATGGGCTGACTGTGGCTAAGAGGCGTTACACAGGGCTGTCGCTAGCCCCTGCTACCTGCAGCTGCGTAGGTCCCATGCCTCGGCCGTCTGCCTCCAGACCTTGCGCCAGGGCCCTGGTATCCATTTAGAAGCCTTTGATAGATATGTTCCATCACTGTGTCCGCCATGGGAGAACCCCAACTTTCATGTAGAAACATTGTGGCCTCCAGAGGGGAAGAGGGACCTACATCCTGAGCTCCTAAAATAACTTTTCTATCAATTTCTGGAAGGATACAGTGCCTATGCTCACGTGTACACAGATGGATCCAGGACTGACGACAACGTTGGGGCCGGTATCTGGAGCAGACAGGGAGTGAAGTTCCTGCTTGCCGTGGCATACAACCATATTCACTGCAGAGTTGTTTGCAATAAATAGAGCCATTGACATTGCAATAACAAGCGATGTCAATGATGTTGCTATCATTTCAGACTTTTTGTCAGCTCTTAAAGCAATTCAAAGTTGTAACACTACCAGCATTGAGGTACAGGGCAACATTATTAATAAATTACATGAGTGTGCTAAGAACATTGAGTTGATATGGGTGCCTGGCACTGCAACATTCAGAGCAATGAACAGGCACACAAACTAGCAAAAGGAACGGTGGGTCTCAGGGAGACAACCAATGTACGTTGGGAACGGCAGTCGTGTCTCTGCTTGGAGAAGACATGCAACAATAAGTGGCACTTGGAATGGACCAGGTTAAATCTTCGCAAGAACTGCAAGATTAACATAGGAAACTGGCCCTCAGCATAGAGAAAGAGCAGGAAGGAAGAGGTGGTTCTCGCCAGATTAAGGTTAAATTGCACCTATCTGACCCACTTAAAACCTCACATAGATAACTCCTTTCCTCCTATCTGTGCCACTTGCAAAAAATTATGACCATTAACTACACTCTGACAGAGTGCACCAGTACGAACCAGAACGCCGGCGACTGGTAATGCTAGCGACCATGCGAGGTTTCGTGCTGACTGTACCCAACCTATTGCAAGATGATGTAACATTAAGTGACGCTATAATACTCTTCCTCAAGGACACTTGTCTTATGGCTATGATGTAAATGGTACACACAACATATGCTTTTTATAATATGTATGTAAACATGCCCCAAATAAAAAAATAATAATAAATAAAAGTACTTGTAAATAAAGAAATGGAAAACATACAACACAAGAGACATATCACAGACATTTCCATTACATACAACATGCACATATACAAAGTAAAACTGACACCTATCAACACCATACAAACAAAAAGACACGGGCTACACCATCACTTAGGAAAAAAAACCTTGTTACCTAACTGCCCATTTCATCTGGGCTGTCACTGATTCACCATCGACCTGTGGTATAATGGTCAGCATCCTCGCCTCGCAAGCGAGCGGACCCGTGTTCGATCCTCGGGCAGGGTGAAACTACGGGCAAGTTTCTTTACGCCATTTGCCTCTGTCTACCCAGCAGAAATTGGGAACCTGGATGTTAATCGATTTGCGGATCGTATTCCGGGGTAATGGTTAGCCAGTGCAGTTGGCGAGCTGTCCAGTCTTCTAGGACTATTCCGTGACACTGGGTCATGCAGCTCGTTAACTTATGGGTTTGGTTGTTGTGTTGGCGACAGCTTCTACACCTCAACAAATTCACGCCTAGGAGGCCTCTGGGCCGCCCATCCTCGATTTCGAGGGGCTTCCATTATTTATTATCATATCATTAATTCAAATCATAACTCATCCAAAAACAAAATACCAACATCAAGAAAATTAAGAAATAAGACCATCAGAGTAGTTACACCAACAGAGTAATATAGTGCAAGAATAAAGACCAAGAATGGAAGAAAAAACCCCAAGAATGATCTAGAAGAAGAAAGAAGACATCAGCTCCAGCCAAAATAGCCGAAAGGCGAAGTGGCCAGTAATCCCCAAACAAGCTAACCAATGTACGTACCAAGACAGTGTGGATATACAAACAATTGTAAACAGGCAAGCAATTCAAGTAAGGATAACTACCAAAGCCCATAAATGCTTAATACAAAATATAATATGTATCCATTTTTTTCATGATTCCATTATTAACCATCTTGTCAAGACTAGATTTTACTAAAGTGGCTATTCTGAAATTTGAGGAGACAGATCACTGAAGGTGTGATGATATATTTCCTACATATTTCTTAATCACATAATTAATTCATTTTAAACAAGTCAATTTACTGAAACTGAACACAGGCACAAAACTTATTCAATTTCTGCTTTGAGCCAGTGCAAACTGTAGGTAAAATTGCCACTCTATTCCCCTGTGAGCGCCGATGACAACACTGAATGATATCCATACACCACAACAAAAAAACCAAAAACAATCAATCTGTTATGTAATTTAAAGTTTAAATTTTACTCCACTCAACACAAACTTACCAATCAAATCTTTTGAATCTTTTGAGCACTGCCTTAACTGACTTGCGCTTCCCCTTCTGCAGTGACCACTTGACCACCGACCGTGTCTGAGTTGTGGTGGCTGGTGCAGGAGCAGCTAAGAGACTTGGCTCTGATTTTAATATCCAATCTGACATCTTTGTTGTCAACCTGTAATATTAACAATATGAAGAAACGTAGCTACTTATTGTCATGTTACTTCTGTATAGTTACCTACAGCAACATCTATCATGACAACAATATTCAGAAACCACTAAGTTTAAGAATTCTGACCAGAGAGTCTTTTAAAGGATGACTGATTAGATTTTACAGTGGGTAATATTAATGACAAAATATTTTAATTAATATTTTACACACTAGCATCATGTTTTTCACACCACCATAACAGATGAAAATACTAATACTGTACTGTATATGTAGGCAGGCACCCAAGTCGGCTATATACCTGCATTACCTACATACATGCTGAACTGTATAAAGTACCTGCATTGTCTATATACTATTCATGCTGAAGAAATAAGAAATAAGCTGGGAAGATGAATCTTGAAGTAATACGAATTTTCTTACCCGGACACCATACTGGGGGTGAAGGTGTAGACTGGGGAGGCTCCGGTACTTAGCTGATATAACACAGGCCTGGATGGTAAAGTGATCCTCTTTCCATTGAGAATTGTTGGCTTCAAGACATTTTTAGGACAACCTGCTGGTCCTGAGCTAGCTAAGATGGCGCTGCTGTAGGTTGAAAGACGAGAAACAGTTCGCAGCATCTGAGGAGACAAAATATTACTGTCCACTTACAGTGTATAGAACAAACATATACAGCTGCAATGAGACCTATATCTAACGGACTACAAATGGAGAGGAAATCACGTTATATCGAGGGTCGGTTAGATGTCAAACCTCCATCTAACTAACTACCTGTACAGTATATAGATATGAAAGTCCGTAATATCAAGAGTCCATTAGATGTGAAACCTTCCATCTAAAAGTACCGTCTATGTACATGTTGAACCAATGTGAACTTGTATAGATAGATAGGTAATATAACACTGGATATAGGTACAGAAGCCATACTGACGGACTGTGTTGTTAATGGTTAGGTTATGTTAGTTTAGGTTAAGTTAGGTTAATTACAAAGATGGTCACATTAGTAATTATCATAGTATAGTCTGCCCACCACGCATGCTCATATGGCTGCCAAACCAATAATTAATCATTGACGTTTCGCATACGGCTGCCTTACCAAATATCCTGTGTCTAAATATTAATTCAGGAAGATCTTGATACAAGTTTACAATTAGTTCTGAATGTTCAGTACACTGTGTAGAAAATAGAAGAACATACAGTTCAGCATGTACAGTACATAGGCAATGCAGGTGAAAAAAAAAAAAAAATAAATAAAAATTTCCAACAAAAATTTTGCACCGTCTCCTTATACAGTTTACAAATCAAAATACCTGTAGTTTCGTGGTTGACCTTTTCCGAATCTTTACTAAAGTTAGGTCAGGTTTCGATAGGTTTGTTTATTTTTTTCATGTTTTTACCAGACTACTTTAAAGCTTGTTGTCATGGTTTTGGTTGTATCCGTGGTAGTAGGAGCGGATTATATTATATAAAGATAATAATATGTCGTATTTCTTATTTCTTACCGTAGAGTCCGATACCTTCACACTGATTACTTACAGGAGATTATGGCGTATCTACGTAGAAGTTCACTCCACCACTCGACATTCCATGATTTATACTTGATAAATGATGATTTAATGAATTCATTTAATTTTCAACATCCATCTAAGTTATTGGTTATACTATGTCATAACCAATCAGTCATTACCTTTAGTAATAATAAGGTAGGATCACAGATACGGGCAGATAATTGCACTTACATTTATTTGTCAAGCTTCCATACGATGATTTACAATTTGCATGGATATATGATTTACTCACGTTCACGCTGTAATAAAATTAATCTTCTAAAACAGGGAATTTTAAACTTGGGGACACATGTGGTTACTCTACTATGGGTGTGACTTAACAGAGCCTTAATTCTTCAAGTGATATATTTACTGCCAGCCTGGATTGCTTTTGTTGCAACCAGGCTTCATCACAAGAACTTCTTCCCACGGCCATAACAACAAAAAGGTACTCTTGGGTTACCACACATAGTCTCGCGTCACTGACAGTCACTGTGGACGGTTGTCGCGGCAAGTAGAACTGGTAAGCGTGACTTGAATTAACCATTAGGTGCAATAGACCAGCCTGGATTGCTTTTGTCGCAACCAGGCTTCCACACGTGATATTTCCACGGGGATAACAAACCTAGGTTAACACACTTAGTCTCGTGTCGATCACGGTCACGGTAGACGGGTGTCGTGCAGGAGAACTCTGTAAGCGTGAATTAATTAACCATTTACTGTAGGTTTGATAGGCCAGCCTGGATTGCTCTTGTCGCAACCAGGCATCCACACGTGATATTTCCACGGGGATAACAAACCTAGGTTAACACGCTTAGTCTCGTGTCGACGACGGTTCACAGGACGGAGTGCGGTGGAGGACTCTGTGTGGTGTGGTGTCCCGCCCCCCCTTCAGGAGGGAGAGGCTGGAGGCGACGTCTTAACTAACCCATGGCTCAGGGGATACTACTTAAAATGAGGTTTTTGGGTGTGAAGCGATGAACAGTACAACACTGTTCCACTACCCACCCCCCTAAAGGCAGGCTAACATACACTAATTGAAAAATACATGTCCCAGTTATGCCTCGCCGGGCGTCTTATCTCTGGTAAAACAAACTTTGGAGTTGGTTGCGTGGGTAAACCTAACGCAACCCATGACACTTGTGATGTTTCCCTCGCAAACGACCTTTAATGTGTCGTGGGTCCAAGGGACAGAGTCCCCCGGTTAAGAGGTTTGGTTACTGTAAATAGTTTGTGGGAGAAACATCATAAAAGAAAAATTTCTTAGAAATGTCTGAACCATTGACTGCAAAGATAAAATTCTGAAGATTCAGTTGGTGGAAACAAATGCAATTGTACCGTACTTTTTTGCTCCATACCCCAATATAAAAATGAATTCTGTACAGTATAGTTAGCTGATTGGTGCAGAGCTCTTCCAGGGAATTAAAGTTTTCTGGGTTACGAGATGAATTACACATTATTTCATCCTCGGAATTTGCTCCCAGACCCAGAAAAAAAAGAAAAAGAGAAAAGTAAAGAGCTGGAAGTTTTCTCTGAATTTTCCAAAAAAATGCGCATGATTTTCAACCTAGGAAACGTGTTCACAGACACAGAATGGAGAGTTTTCCCAGCAAAATTCTGAGCTGATTATCAATTCCAGGTATTGGAGCAACCCTAATGAGCAACCCTGACCTAACCTTACTGAACTAACCTAAGCAAACAAATCAAACCTAACCTACCCTAACATAACCAAACAAACCTAAAGTAACCAAAAAAAACCTAACCTAACTGAACTAACCTACCCATATTAACCAATCAAACCTAACCTAACTGAACTAACCTACCCTAATGTAACCAATCAAACCTAACAAAACTAACCTACCCTAACCAAACAGACCAAACCTAAATGAACTAATGTAACCAAACAAACTTAACCTAGCTTTACAGAACTAACCTAACCTAACTGAACTAACCTAAGCAAACAAACCTAACCTGGTTAATATTGATGATTGACCTGCAGAATAGTTATTTGTTTTACTATTTATTAGCTTACTTATTTGCATCAGTAAGTCCTGATATGATAATCATTTCTTGTGCAAATGCTTCGTTTTGTAGATAATTAGGCACCTAACTGAACACTATTTTGTCTTCCCGGCAGTAATGAGGCCGCGTTCTGGTGCAGCAAAGAGAGGACTCCTCTCTTCTCCACGCCAGTTTCATTTTCAGCAGGACGTGTGAAGGTTGTCGCCGGTCTTATATGGCAATAATTTGCGAATTCAGAGATTAAGACAACGAGACCCTTCAGTTTTTCAAAGACCACGGCATTGTTTCTTTAAGCAGAGACTGTCCACACTGTGGGAATCCCGTGCTTTCAGACCAGAAAAGAATTTGCTCCAGAGTAATAAAAAATTGTGAATAAGAAAAACAAGCCGCTCTAGCATTGTGGCTACAGTTGTGTAGTTGGTAAAAAGATACTTGGCTTGAAAATGCCAAAATTAAACCCAGTATTTTGCTTTAATTATGATTTTTTTTAATAAAGTATTTTTCACAGCAATACTGTGAAATAGAACTGGATTTGTGTGCCACGTTTGTTGTTGACTGGAAACATGCCATCTCAATAACAAATCACTCCGCCGCCCGGACTGCATAAGCGCTGATGCTGCCGGCTGGTCTCACGTCCAGATAAAAACTCAAATTACACCATATCATACTTAGTTCCTTCTGTTTATTATACCAGGGACTTAGGTAGGTTTGTTTGGCTCGGTTGATGACGTCTGTTTTTCATACCCACTAAGGTTGGGTTTTGTTTAATTCAGAAATAACCATTTTTCTAACACATTTGCACAAACTACAAGTGTCCACTATAAAAAGCAGTGTAATTTCGGCATTTTAAAAATCGTTTTCTATGAAAGTCAGCTGTGGGTTAGTCAACAATAATTACCCCCAACCTAACTGAATAAACCTAAGTTAATGTAGGGTAGAAAGTTAGATTAATTTCATCACAGTCATCCAGTACTAAATCACAGCTGGAGAGATTTGTTCAGAAATGCTGCCATGACAGCTCATTGGTTTGGCATTATATACAGCTAATCCCTGACTTACGACCACCCGGACGTACGACCGCCTCAGTTGTACCAAAATTTTGTCAAATTACGTATTTTCGAGTCCCAACGTCAGTGATTGCCCTGTGTACTGACAAAATTTTCGTTTGTAATTCACTTTAAAATGGCTGGCAAGCTTAAAAGTGAGAGTTTTGTGGTGCTGAGAACAAAAAGAGACACCCATTTTAGATTTTTTATGCATTATTTATGCATTTTCGACTTACGACCTGGATTTGGGTCTCTAACCCTGTCATAAGTCGGGGAGCAGCTGTATAAATATTGTAGGCGTGCAAACAATATACATAGTGGAAGTAAACAATGCACAGTCAATTTAGGGTTAATATTAGTCCATTGGCTGTCCTCAGGTTTTGGTACGAGAATAGGTTTTTTGACGTTTTTCAGTGTTTTACTCAAATCTGACATTCATTTGTTTTGCAAATTAGCAGTTTTTGCCAAAAACGAAAATTTTCATCTTTAACAGAAACTGCCAATTTGCACAAAAATAGAGGTCAAATCTGAGTAAAACACATCATAATTCCAAAAAAATCCTATTCATATACCAATGAAACCAATCAACCTTGCTAACCTAACCTACAAGGAGGAGAAGGAGGTAAGGAGACAACTGCCTCTAAGTGAGGAGTATAATCTCAGGTAAACATAACGGGATCCTGCGGACAGCCAATGGACCAATATCAGCCATGACGTATAATCATTAATCCATGAAATAAAGGGTATTTTGTGCACACAACTTTCCTCCCCCAAATACATTATCATACTCGAAAAAAAACCCGTCTAATTTTAAGATAATTTTCTTATATTACATTACCGTCGCAAACGTATAATAACAAAGATAGCGCATGCCAGATATTTCTCTATTTTCTTCCATTAATCTTCAGCCATTATCGCCTACCCGACCTCCCATTCGGCGTGTTTCCTTCATAAATCGCCATGCACATGTGTTCCCGTACATGTCACCCGGCCAATCAAAAGCATTTTTTTTCCCACCAATTAAAATGATTTGTAGTTTAATTCGCAGTATTTTTGGTCCAATCAGATTCGATTTTTATTTTGGGTCTCATATTTCAAAATTCAAATTCATTTACCGACCATGGAAGTCTGCGAAGGGTGTCACTTCAATTATATGAGGTTGATTGAGAGTTTTGGGGAAAAAACGAACAAGCTATTGCATTTATTAGATCCCATGGTGTTCTCCCGATCACAGTAAAGTGTCCTAGGTGTAAGAACGAGTGTAAATATCGTGAAGACCAACATATGTGGCATGAACCAGGCCAATAAGGTAAGAAATGAGTGATTTCATTATGCGGTGATAGTTTGGTTAGGTCAGGTTAGGTCAGGTTAGGTCAGGTTAGGTTAGGTCAGGTTAGGTTCGGTTTATGGTTTTCTAATGTTTTATTCTTGTGTATTTTGTATTGGCTTGGCCATGATTTTTGTCGGAAAACGCCTCACCCAAAACCCACGATAACTAAAACAAACAGGCAATTCCCGACGGAAATCAATGACAACACCAATCAAAACACACAAAAATACAGTATAAAAACATAGGTTTGATTTTATAAAAGAGTTGTGTGCACTAGCGTAAATTTACCAAGTAAAGTAGGACAACAAAGGGCATAATAAAGTTACAGTCTGTCTCACCTTGGCTTGTGTTGACGGCCATTGAACTGAACAGCGAAAACTGTATTACAGAGAAGTCCGAAAACAAGTCATCCTGTATATAACGATAAAACAATCATTACGCCTTTACCAATAACAGTAATAATAGTAATAAATAAATGGCATATATATATATGCACAAGGAGGAGGAGGAAGGACGCCCTCGTGGAAGAGGAGGAAGAAGGACCTCCACAAGGGGGGAGGGGGAGGAGGAGGAGGAGGAGGAAGGGTGCTTACGGGTAGGGAAAGAGGAGGAGGAAGAGGGACGCCCACGGACATAAACTTTATCTCCGGCAAAGTCATCAAAGGCGTCTTGAACCACGTAGCCGCTGGCCTCCCTACCACAACACCCACAGCTTCTACCACAACACCCACAGCTCCTACCACAAAAAAACGAGAAAGCATGAGAGGGAGGAGGGTGAGGTGAGAGGGAGGAGGGGAAGGACAGAGGGAGGAGGGGAAGGTAAGAGGGAGCAGTGGAAGGTGAGAGGAATGATGGGGAGGTGAGAGGGAGGAAAAAGGAGGTGAGAGGGAGAGTAAGTTAAGAGGGATCTACTGGACACACACACACACACACACACACAGCCTCAGGGTAGTGTGGACAAGACACGCATATTTTTCTCAACGTTTCACAAGACGTCATCGAACAGGTTCAGAAGACAGCTAATATCAGTGATCTTTATAACAGCGACCGCCTTAAGTTCCCGAGACTGTGTGTGTGTGTCTGTGTGTGAGAGTGAGATTTGACAATTTAACACCTTAATCGATCTTCATTCATTTTAATTGACCTCCATTCACTCTAGCTACCCCTGATTCACTCTAGCCACCCCCTCATTCACTCTAGCCACCCCCTCATTCACTCTAGCCACCCCTGATTCACTCTAGGATTCACACTCTAGCCACCCCTCATTCACTCTAGCCACCCCTGATTCACTCTAGCCACCCCTCATTCACTCTAGCCACCCCTCATTCACTCTAGCCACCCCTGATTCACTCTAGCCACCCTCATTCCTCTAGCCACCCCTCATTCACTCTAGCCACCCCTCATTCACTCTAGCCACCCCTCATTAACTCTGGCCACCCTCATTCCTTAGCCACCCTCATTCACTCTAGCCACCCTCATTCATAGCACCCTCATTCACTCTAGCCACCCCCTCATTCACTCTAGCCGCCCTTCATTCACTCTGGTCAACATAACTCAGGGCTCAACATGCACATCACTTACCACTGATTAATCCAAATTTTGAAACAGTCATTTGTAGAACAGGAATGGGCGAGTTTAGGCGGAGGGACGACATTTGCATACCAAGAAAGGGTTGAGGGTTGGGTGTGGTGAGGGCCCCGCCCCGCCCCCGCCCCACCCTACCCTGCCCCGCCCCACCCTACCCTGCCCCGCCTCCTACTGTGATCCTCCAACAGACTAGCATACAAATGTCCCCAAGTTCACCCCCTCTCCTTCCCTCCTTCCCCTTTCCCGTCCTCCTGTCGTCTTCATCTCAACTCAAAATCCTAAAAAAAATAGAAGACAATTTTGTCTCTGTTTGATGAGTCTTGAAGGAAGGGCAGGTAAAGGTGTTGATTTAAAAGGTGGTGTGTATAGTTCTATCACCCCACACAACCTATCACACTTCCCTCTCTTCCTCTGTCCCTCTAATACCTCCCCCCCTCTATCTCTCTCTCTCCCTTTTCCCCCTTCCCCCTCTCCCTTCTATTGTCTTCCTCTCTACTCAAGATCCTCCCCAAAAATTGTAAATCTCGTGTGTGTGTAAATTACCAAAGCTACGGGACAACCTGTGGCTACTGAACTAAGTGTCCGCGACGTCCACCAACTCACCGTCGTGTTCCGTATGGTTGTTGATACTACACTAAGACATTGTTTACTTGTTATTATGAATGTTTTCCTGTCTTCCTCTCACCACCGGGTAGTGTGATGTTCAAAGTCATTAATATCACCCCCCCCCTTCTCTCTCTCTTTCTCTCTCATTTCACTGTCTCTTTTTCTTCCTGTCTCTCTTTACTATCCCCTCTTTCTCTCTCCATTTTCTTCCTCCCCATTCTCTCTCTTTACTTTCCTCTTTCATCCTCTTCTTGCTTCTCATCCTCCTTCTCTTTATTCTCCTCTCTCTCTCTCTTCTTTCTCCTATTCCTCCTTCTCCTCCTACCATCATTAATACCCCCCACACACATCACTAATACAGGATTGCTCTTAAGATAAAGCCAGACAGATGGGCGGATTACACCATGACAGCCATTTACCTGTGTGATTACCTGCCCTGCCGCCCATATATTACCTATTGACTCACCTGGACGACTGATACAACTCTGGTATTATTCTGGTACTATACTTCTGTGGAGCTTGGGGGGGTGATGGGAGAGGTGAGTGAGAGGAAAATAGTGAGAGAGAAACAGAGAGCTTTTAGAGGGACAGTGATAATAGCTTGAGAGAGAGAGAGAGAGAGAGAGAGAGAGAGAGAGAGAGAGAGAGAGAGAGAGAGAGAGAGAGAGAGAGAGAGAATTTAAGGAAGACAGACTGTGTTGACTGCTAGAGAGACAGCAAGTGTGTGTGTGTGACAGAGTGTGAGGGAAGTGCCAGCGAGAGTAATTATGAAAAGGTTAGAAAGATGGTAAGGGGGACTAAGCTAGACTCAGCCTGTTCACCTCACGAGTAGCTGACACCCATCACAGAAACCAATAAATTATGACATTTTTCCAACACAACGATGAAAAACTGACAATATAGAGAGGCATTATGGTTAAGTTTTACTTTGGCTGAAAATTAAAGACAAGGAGGAAATTTCTTGGGACAGAACCAGATGAAAACATTGATTGATGACAACAAACTGAATCAAACAAACTCAACTTTAATTAATTTGACTAAATAATATTGTAAATTCATTAAGTTACGACATATTTTTCTTTGACTTGTGTCATCTGACACAACAAATTACACCCTTGGCATATAAGTGTATTTTTTTTGTGTCTGTATATATAAATTTTTACCATAAGTCAGGTTACTTCTAGATTACCTTAGTTTGGGATAAGAAAAATCCCGTTTTCTCTAATATCCAAGCGTCTATCCCCAGGAAATTTAACACGACAAACACCTTGTGGGGTACGTGGTGTTTGGGTTCACACTCAGGATGGGATGGAGAAAGGAAACTCACAATGTGCTCTCTGTATACATGTTGTATTGGATGTACAATGTAGCTTGGTGCTGGGAAGGCAGCATGGTTACAAGCGTTGAGTAAGGAGAGCTGGTTGGTGAGGGTGCTCAGAGGAAGACCAGCTTGTGGGTCGCCGGCGGAAGCGAGGGCCGCCAGGCAAGAGGAGGAGGAGGTGTTGCTTGCTGGTTGGTGTAGGTAGAAAAGAGGGTGGTCACCACGAAGTCAGGTCTTTTATAGCGGAGGTAGGTGTGGCTTAATAGTTGACCTCCGTCATGTAAGGCGGCGCTGGTTGACCTAGACCACGAGGCATACACTGGGGAATTCGCGGGGTCGGCTACTCAGCGACAAACAGCGTTTGTAGGGGAGGTTTCCACTACAACCTTACTAACTAGACACAAAAAAATCCCTTAACAAAAACAAAGCTATAGCCCTCATGTACTCACAATAAATCATATAGCACCGAAATATAGTGTATTTATACTCACAAGTGGCACAGAAGGTTATATTATGTTTTCATATGCATGGGGGAGAGTGTGAGGGCAGCGGAGCGTACACTTACCGCCTATAATGGTTTCTGCAGCACCAACGTAGCCCAAGTTTTGCCATATCTACAGCTACGCCTTAATTCTCACGTGTTTAACCTTATCTTACTGAACTACATCTTGCATTATCAATGTATCAATTATTTCGTTATTTGAGTGTAGATTGAATTTGAATAGTTCGTTGTCTCTCTCTCTCTGTTAATATTTCCCTCTCGTTTTCTCCCGCTCTCACTTTATATATTGTTCACTCCCGCACTTTACCCCTTGTTATCACTCTTTATCTCTCGTTCTCTCACTCTTTATCTCTCGTTCTCTCACTCTTTATCTCTCACTTTCTCACTCAAGTACACAACAGCTAATCTCGTCACTTCATAAATAATTAGGAGAAACTGCTAATCATAAAGGAATCACAGAAAAAAATAGTAATTACGAAAAACTCAGGTGTTGCCTCAGGTGTGTGTGGTTAAGGGGGTCACCTACGATACCCTACCTCCCTACCCCCCATACCAGGTGCCCCGAAACTCACCTGGCTTCACCTACTCTTAATATGACCTGATCCAGTTAAATTCACCAGTTCCATGACTCATATACTTGAGTAGTTTCCTAGAAGTTATGTCGTCTGGATCACCACACAAGAGCCTCAGGGCTATCATGAAGTTGACGGCAATTATTCTATCTTTGACACTGGGTATTCCTAGGTGGAGGGGTGATAGAGGGTTGAAGGAGGGAAGGATGATGGAGGGAGGGTGAGGGTTGATGGAGGGAGGGTGAGGGTTGATGGAGGGAGGGAAGGAGGGAAGGGGATGACGGAGGGAGGGTGAGGGTTGATGGAGGGAGGGGTGAGGGTTGATGGAGGGAGGGGTGAGGGTTGATGGAGGAGGTGAGGGTTGATGGAGGGAGGTGGAGGGTTGATGGAGGGAGGGAAGGATGACGGAGGAGGGGTGAGGGTTGATGAGGGAGGGTGAGGTTGATGGAGGGAGGGGTGAGGGTTGATGGAGGAGGGTGAGGGTTGATGGAGGGGAAGGGAGAGTGTATTATTCCAGTGATATCCTAAAAGCTAATGGTGACAGTTCTTTACTGACGTACTCTCCTTCCCTCTTTCCCCCTACTTCTCTCCCTCCCTCCTTTCCTCTTTCCTCCCTCCTTTCCCTTCCTCTCTCCCCCTCTTCCTTCCTCCCTCCGTATAAACAGCGGAGTATTGTATTCACTATCACTATTCAAGGTGTCACATATGTTAGTTCACACACACACACACACACACACACACACACACACACACACACACACACTTGTATATAAAGATGAATAAGTATATTTTTTCATTTATAGTAAAAGTGTTGAGGTAATGTGGTAGTGATGGTGGTGGTGGCCCAT